ATATATATGTAAATAAAACAGCCTATTTCTTACCATAAGTAGAAACCTTAACAACAGAGAGGGTCAAAAACAGTTCCTTAAGGTGAAATTACTGTCGCTAAGGCGAAATTTTAAAAACGTTAAGGAGAAAGCTAGACAAAGGCTTTTTCGCCCTAAGTGTCAAGTAGGGGTATGTATATAATATTATTTATATATTCTGGGATCCACACTACATTCAAATATTCATTGCACTTTCTTTTTAAATATTTACTAGACATTTTCAGCTGTACTCAAAGTAATCATATCGACTATATTTAATTCAAGATTAATATTTATTCATTATTTTGAATTTCCATGATATATCTTTCCATTTATTTACATCATAATGATATTTCTTAACTGGACATAGCTTTTCAAACACTCTGTTATCATAACAACTGCACAATTGCACAATTTAGTTTCTACAACAGTATTTCACATGCACTTTCTTTGAAACTACTGTACAACAATTTGCAACAAAATAATTAACATAATTATTCAAGACAGAGTAAAAAAAATATTGCCCCAGCACAGTGATTTTTTTTTGTGGGGAGGGGCATAATTACAATGATAATTATAATATTTATTATATTTTATTTTAAACAAATTTAGACACGAAGGTAGAGTATGCAAAATAGTGAATATGTCCTATTCAAACGGCAATCTCTTCAGATGACGAACATTGCACAAAATGCTCGCTCCATTAAGTCTGTATAATACATACTCCATGTATCAAAATGCACGCCATCGTGTCGGGATTCAATATTTCGACATTAATTATGTCATTATCAGAATTATGTCACCATCATTCCTAATGATGAAATAATTAATGTTGAAATATTGAATCCTGACACGATGGCGTATGTATTATACAATCTTATCTGAGATAAATCAGTGGACCTTTCGGTTTATAAAGTAATGTATTATTATTGTTTTGGTCATACAAAAAAAGTGGTTATTAATAAGACTACACTCCAGAACCCTGGAAAGGCCACTACAACAATATCAATAATATGATATACCGTAATTATTCGAGTAAATGCCCATTCTAGAGCCTTATTTGGAATAAATGCCTCCCTCGAATAAACACCCCAGGTGTTTATTTTTTTTCTTAAATAAAGACACACCCCCCCCCCACATGATTGTAAATAAACCTGATGGAAGCAACATCATTCTATTAATGTTCTACTCCAGCAGAACTTCATTTTTTTTAACCTGGTTTTAATAATGCAATAACACATTTTGACAGTAATTACATGTTGTAGTTCCACATTTACAATAAAATTAAGGGGAATTTTTTTGAGTATATACGTATCCCTTTTAAACCAAAAAAAATAAATGCCTCCCTCGAATAAACGCCCACTAAAAACCCTTCTCAACAATAAAACGACCCAGGGCATTATTGAAATAAATATGGTAATAATTCTGATGGAGCTGTGGCGTAGTAGTTTAAGATGTTTCAAATGACAAAAATAATAATGTATGATGATCCATCAAATTTCAAATAACATGTTATATAGTCATTGCGGACTTATAAAATCCGCATACGCCTTAAAACTAAAAGAAAATGCATGCTTTTGGAGAGTCCGTATTGAGCCCAAAAAATCCGCAATGAAAATATAACTTGTTAAATCATTTATGCAATAAAATTTCTTTTCACAGTTATGTCTGTTCCATTGTCCACCCTTAGTGTTAGTTACTTATATTTGTTTATAACAGGGACTATATAAAATGTATCAACATAGAAGATTATTTTTGAAAAATAAAAAAAATTAAAAAAAATACCAATTGGTTGAAGAATATTTTAAGTACGGTTAATGTGCCATATTTTAATAATAATTGAAATTTTAGGCCTACTCCCAGTCATCGTCATCTTGCGAGACTTGCTGTGTTGTTGTTGACATCTTTGGTGGGGCAGGTATCATAGATGAAATCTTGTCCATAGCAGAGTTGTCCTTGGTTCCACCACTACCGCCGCCACTGCCACCATCAGTCCGAGCTCCTGATATTCCTTTACGTCGCATGGTCAGCTTATTGAATAGGTCAGACATGAGGTCGCCACCAGCAGGTGCTGGAGCAGTTTGCTTTTTCTTCTTTTCCATTTTGCGTTCCGTCATTTTCTTTAACTTTGCTTTACCAGAACCACCAGCAGCTCTGATGGATTCTAGCAGACTGGCTCTTTGATCATCGCCTCCCTTTGCAGCTGCCGGTTTCTCCCTCATTGTGACATCCTCACCAGCACGTGCTTCTGAAACTGGTGGTGGTGGCGGTGGTGGTGGAGCCATAGATGCTTCTGGTGGAGGAGGTGGTGGCGGTGGGGGTGGACCTGCAGTTGGAGGAGGTGGTGGTGGTGGCATGCTACCTTCTGGAGCTGGTAGAGCTGGCAGGTTAGATGGGGCAGAATCCTCAATTGCCAATACTACACTGGGAAGGTCTGGAAGGTTGCTACCAGGTACAGATGGTGCAATAGAGGGTCCAAGATCTGCATTATAGGACACATCATCAGCCACACCTGAAATACACAATGTGAACAATATTATGTCAGAGAGATGGAGGACGACTAAAAACTACTTGGAGAAGCACTGTTGAGAAAGAGAGAGACGTGTTGGGTGGAAAGCTTGGGGAGAAGCTTCAAGAAGCTCAATCTCTACACCTAGAGAGATGAGTGATAAGTAAGTTGTTAGGCTAGTGAAAATATAATACACACAGCACTTGGGTGTTCCCCGCAAAATTAGTCACTGAAAAAGTCATACGTCTTAATATGAAATCATAATACCATATTGAAGATTTATATATATTTTTTCAGTAATTTAAAAAGTAGTTTTTTAAATTGAGCCCAATTCTAACCTGGCAGATCAGGAAGATAAACAGGTACATCAATTTCAGGAACATCTCCAAGATTTGGTATGTAAAAATAATTTTCAGCTGTCATTCTCTCCATCTGCTCCTGCTGGGTGATGGTGATAGGTGCAGCACCAATCTCCTCTTGTTCTTCCTCTATTGCCTTGCGAGTTTTTGTCACTGCCCCAAGTGGATCAATCATCACATATTTCTTATAACTGAAAAAAAAAAACCCAACAGGATCTCAGCATTACACCAGTATCATCAATCTCAGTGCATGAAATTCTATATCCATTTCTGTAAGCTTACAACACTAGACTTCATTCAGTAAAAGTGTAATGTACAGTTGTTGGTATAATAATGCCAAACGCCACAGTTATTTAGTTACTCTTGACACTGTTGCCATTATGTTATTATTAGTGATATGTAATGTGATATCATCTTGGGCACATCCAGAGATATCCAAAAATGGGGGGGGGGGAGGGGTGGGGGGGGGTCAGGGGTGGCGATCTAGAGACAACACTACCCTAGTCCAGGGGAGTAATTTTTTTTTTCTAGACATCCGGAAATAACCTCCGAGGTGTTTTGGGCTTTTCAATAATTTTTTTTTCTTCTGTTTTTTTCCCTCTTTCCAAATGGGAATTGGGGGTGGGGGGTTGGGTGGTACCTCACCACTACTTAATCCACCTCTAACATCATATCAATTTGTCACATAAAATTTGGTAGTATGGACAGAGCTTTAGACAATCCATGGTTCACATTGCATCAACATTTGGGCAATTATTGTGCAAACTTACGGATTTTCATTGTGCAAACTTACGGATTTTCACTTGTGTTAAACAGCAGTAAAGAGTTTATCGATTCCATATTTTTTGGTAATCCGCCAAGCCCTTCTGCTGAATGCTCCTCTGATTTCTCCTTTTTACGAGGGTTGATTTGTACATTGTAAAACTGCAACTTCTCCTTCAGCGATTTTGCATCCACTGCCTGATGTTTTGTATGCATTCTCCTAAATGGTACTTTTAGGGCTGAAAGTTCTGTGTCTTCGTCGAATAAGGATGCATAGATCTCTGGCCGCTCAGGGGCTGGATATTTTGCACTTGAGAAGACCTTGGTTGCTTTTTTACTGTTTCTCATCTTGTCAACTTTCAGCTGAGCTACCTCCAGTCTTTGATTAATTTGCTTGAGTTTGGCATGATCCATCGATACTCTGTCACTGATGCGATTGAAGACATCGTTCGCTATTTTTTCAAGATGTTCTAAGGTATCTGCTATTCTTAGTATAGTTTCTTCCCTCCTTAAGTCCGAGGGAATTATGGAGACAGTATAAACATGTCCAGGCATGATGAAACTTGTAGTAAATGTGTTGATATGAATGCTCTATGACATGTAGCAGAGTTAATTCAGAGCTGATCTTGCATCTGCATGTAGAGATATAAAAGCAATAATGTTAGTAATATATTTATATATGTAATGTTAGTAAAGGTTCTTTTCACATTTGCAGCTACTACACTCATCTTAAGCAATATTCTACAATAGCCACTTTCAAAGCTAGCATCAAACATTATTTTTTAAGGAAACATCATAACTTTCAATCTAAAGTGCATTGATTTTAACATTGTTTAATAATTTGTGTTATATAAATTATCAATAATTTATCAATAATTATTATTAATTATTATATCTCAAGGTTGTGACAATGTGAGGTGAAATCCAGACTTATTATTATTTTTGGGGAAATGCTAATTGTCAATAATGTGTAAACATTTTTATACCAGTTTTATATGTACCTCAGGTTTTATGCCATGAACTGATTTATTAAAATTCTGACACAAAAAACAATGTCAAATTGGAGACAAAACATGTGCCTAGGCCCAACACAAAAAGTGGGTACCTCTTCGAAAAACAAACACATTACAATTAAATACAAAAAGCCATTAAAATCAAACCCAACACTAAGAACGACTGTGCCCTAGCGACAGTCTACAACACCATTTCGGATGGGTGACCTTACGGGATTGAACTAGATTACCCACAAACGATAACCCACAAAAATCCTAAGACTTATTTCCTGGTGGTGAATTGTGTACACCGGAACCATACTGTAAAGTGTTTTAATTGCATGGGGGATATCCAAAACCAGCTCAAATTTTTGCAGAAATTCACGAGGAAAATACCCTGTACTGTGTGTAGGTACGCAGAAAGGTAATTAGTGCATACATTAAGTAGTAAGAGATAGGCAAAAATGAGGCCTAATTTTTCGGCAGAGTATTTTGTGAATTATGGCTTAAACGTCACATCCAAATGGGCGAAAGTGTCCGCTATTAATTAAGCTAAGTATTATATTAATATTATTGAAACTTGCATTTGAACCGGGGTCAAAGATCTTCACTGTTCAGCGAATACACAGTGGCTCCTACTACCAGTTTAAACCGAGCTAAGCTGGTCTCAGTCCCAAGGACTAGGCCTAGGCCCTAAGCATAGCTAGCCTCTCCTTTCTTTCCGGCTAGGCCTAGGCCAACTGATTAGGCTTTTCTCTCAGTCTCAATCTCTTCTCTCTGCCTGCAGCCTGCCTGGATATCATAATAATGTGATTCAGAATGGTTGGTGGTGTCTAAGAACGATCTTGTCACACAGTTCAGTAAAATATAAAACACAAAACCTAAATGTGGTTATATATTATATTAAGCATACCTGCACCCAATTAAAAACAATTACAATAATCACCTTTCTTTAGCCTAAACCCCTAAAAAAGACAACCAGTGCAGTACATCTTGTCATCATGTGATGACAGCCGCCCTCAAACATTTACAAAAATTTACTCAAGCGTCACATTTAAAATACCATCAGCTTGCAGTTCAATGGTTTCGAAGTTCGCGCGAAGTCAATTGAAAGGCTTCTTTGAAAAATTGTAGCCCAAGGCCTGGTGAATTAAAATGGCCCAAAACAAGGACCATGCACGCTCCGAAGCGGAACTTATATTAGGTTTACACGATGTGATTCGAGCACAAGAAAAGAAGATACATCGTCAGCAGAGCCAAATATCTCATCTGAATTTTATGGTTGTGAAGTTGACCGAGGATAGAGACCGCTTAGCGAGATTATTATCAAGGTATTCCAGCGATTCAAGAGGCAGAAAGATGGAGCGTACGATTTATTCCATCCGAGAGGATACTAAGAAAGCAGATAAAATTGACAGGTATGTCGAATATAACGGTCCGTTCACTTCACCATACAAGGATGAAGATATTGATAAGGCAGCCTATAGTAAAGTAGTAGTAGTAGTAGTAGTAGTACTAGTAGTGTAGTACATGTATGCACTGTACAACGTACGGGACGTGTCAACTACGATACGAACACCATGTTTTCTTTAATATAAGTAGGGTCTACACCACAACACACAGACCCCGTGTCTGGTTTTCACTTGATACAATTTCTCCAATTCAATTTCGATTCCCAATGAAAAATTGACTCTGACATGTGCCACTATTTGAGCGGACATACAAAGCGTGAAATTATCGAACCAATATTGATTAAATTGATCATGAGTACATTTACATGGGAATAGACAAAAGTTTCATTGACTAGTGTAGAAAATAGTTTCACTTTTATGAACAGCAGTGCACCATATGTAGGCGGGTAGACTGGCGCAGTTCCGGGGGTGGCGAAAGGAGTCCTTGTTGTTGATTGGTTCTTTGGCATATCCAGCATTTAGATATTAAAATTAAATTTTGTTGCATCATTATGATTTTATTCCATGTTTTATTGATTGAGAACCTGCCAAAGATTTTGTGTGATTTTTACATTTATCTTTAATTATCGGTAAACCTTCTGTACCATATGGATAATTGAGCTTTAAAACTAATTATGTTTGGTAATGATTTTAACAGCACTTGCGAAAATGACCTGGTACCACCAAGTGGCAGTGACAGCGGAGGGGTAGGGGAGCTTTGAATTAACTTTGTTGTCGGACAAACAATTCAATGATCAAATTTCAGAACAACTTAAAATGGCCTCAATGATTTGTAGGCCCCTATGCCCCTATAGGTTCTCATTAGATTATTCTTAAAGCTACATTTTAGATCAAATATAACATGATACAAAAAACTATATTTAACAAATACCTGTACATGGAAATGAGATTTCAAAATTAAAAAAATAAATGTTACTCTTTATTAATGTGTTGTAGGCCTATCATCTGGTTTTTGAATATATTGTTTTTATTATACAATTTAACAAGAAATTATAATAATATAAACATTAAATGTGTATGAATATGGCAAATTAAACTGTCAATATGTCCCATTGGGTCGAAATAACCATTATTCCATCATCACTATTATTCCTAGAGCTACTATTACAGTTATATGGATTTTATATCATTAGTAGTATTGCCATAGAATGTCAATACCAACAGCTTTCTATTGTGCATTAATTAATGAGCTTCCAACTTAACTTTACAATGTTTTTCTACATTGTAGCGTAGTACCATTACAATTATATGGATATACAGTATACATTATTGACTATTAGAGTACAATACAGATATGTCTATCACTTAAAACCCTTTTCAGACTACTGTATCAAATTTTATTTGACAAAAAACATGTTACATGCCTAAATATGGTCATGATGACATCACATCATGACTATATATAGGCACATCATGACTATATATGGGCATACAAAAGGTTTTTGCAATTAAAATGTGATAGTCTGGATAGAGCTTTAATGGTTTTCAGAGGATATGGCATTTGTATTTTGCTGCCCTCATGGTTGACTTCACATTGCATTTTCAAGAAATAATGTTGTGTATAGATTTTTGTAGCATAGAGCATAATATTTCAAAATGCTACTAGCAGAAACATATTCTTTATTAGAAATATTGTTCTATATTTCTTACTCTTATGAATCATACTACTTTATATTAATGCAGTTACCTATTGTTACAGAGATATTGAACGTTGTAAACCTATCTGTTTATGTTGGACAAAACATTCCATAATAATAATATCAATTCTATGTAGTATATAATTTATTTCTATTATTTTTGGTATGGTACTGTACCTAAAAATGAAAAAAATCAAGATTTATTAAAATGATGAATAGATGATAATGGGGATATTAACAAACTAAAAATAAATATGATGAATAGATCATAAAGTACTATATATAGATACATAATTACTCATCTGAATCTCTTCATTTTTATTGTATCATGTTGTATATTATATAGCTAGTACACTACTGATCAATTATAGGTCGATGGAATATTTTTAATAATACAATGATTTAAAATTTAGATATTAAAAATATATCATCAGCAATGAGCCAAAATAACTTGAAATATAAAAGTCAATATTTGAATTTCCTACTTATGTATGAATGTATTTTTAGCTTTCAATTGAAATATAAAAAGGAAGAAAATCTTCAAGTAGTGGACAGATAATCATTTTCATCGCACTCTTAAAATTATATCTTTCCTTATCTTTTATTTATTCGGTGTAAACGCCAAGGATAACCCACAAAATTCTGAAGAAGATTTATTTCGAGTGGGGTCCTTCTGGAGGTGATTGAGCAGTACACCGGGAGACAATCCCCTACTCTTTTTCAAAGAGTGTATGTGTTCCTTAACGTGCACATGGGCCACAATGCACACGGGACCAACGGATTAAAAGTCTCATCCGAAAGACGGTGGCCTACCATAACTTGCATTTCAGCCCTCCAGCTGAAATACAAGGAGATGAGCGATAGGAATTGAACCAGGGGCTAAGAAATCATGGTTCAGCACACACACAGTGGCTACCACAAGTTTAGCTGACTGAGGTACAGTAAGCTGCCAGGTCGAAAAGATGACTGCACCTGCTTATTCCAGATATTTCTGTCCAGTATACTTTACAATTTTGAAGCTCATCCGATTATAGAATTAATTAATTGAATACATTTTAAAATAAAGACATCTTCTAAGCCAGTAAAAACTGAAATATTTTGATCTGTGGTTTACCTTATTTGAATATTAATTTATTTGATTCTTATTTATGAACAATTCATTTTTTTAATTGAATTTTTTATATTTTTGTTTTTCTCCATATTTTACTACAGACACTAGATCATTTTTAATCTTGAGAAAGATTTCTGGTGAATGAACCCACCACCTTGCCAACTTGAGTTTTAAAGGCAAGCATCTTAACCACTAAACCATATCCACTCTACTACTGTAACAGTACATTAGCTTACATTATGAGCTAAAACGTTTGATATCCTCATTTTTTTTTTGTAGTTGTCGCCACACGCAGATGAATATATTTGTGTAGGATCAGCATTTGTTTTTTCAACACCAGTCTTAACATGGATTTAGATGAAAATCGTTTATTTGTTATTTTATCAATCTGACTGGAAGATTGATTCAAAGAGTTCATTAGATGAAGGTCACGCCAGGTGATGCGGAACGATTGACATATATATGGCTACATCGTGCCTATCAACCTTCATTGTTTCCATTATTCTCTATTGTTCCATTCATCCTCTATTGTTACCATCATCCTCTATTGTTCCCAACATTCTCTATTGTTGACTACAAAGTTATAAATTCTTTCTACAGACTTCATATTAGTTTTACTCAAGTTTTTAATCAATTTTATTCATTTTTTTAAAAATTCAGTATAACTACTGTGTAAATGTGGAATAAGAGCAATTTAAGTAATTACAGAATTTTATAATTTAGAGGGTATATGTACAAATTAAAAATTTGCCATTTTAATTATTGAATTTAAAATTTTGAAAACAGGATGTATTTTTCTGTTTTGTATTTCATATTATTACTATATTTTGTATCCTGTACTGCAGCATATTATGACATATATATCAGTAGTGTACAGTAGTAGTGTGTTTACATTAACATGTCCATTAAATTTTGTTTTAAATTTGGAAGCTTCGCAGATGGTATTAGGATTTGTATCATTGTACCAGCGCAAACTGACACCAATTTGTTTACATGTGTTACGTCTGTTATTAGCGCGTACACTGTAATTACTGTGCTAGCTACATTGTTCGCACACTATGCATAATTGCAAGGCATACTGGTATCAACATATTTGAAACTGGTTCATTACTAAGAGAGTTTGAATTTGTCTTACGGTAATTTACATGGATGGAGACCAGAGCTCGTTGTGTTTGCAATTTACGATCAAAATTGCCACTCGACATCATGCGCAATCAGATCCAGGGAAGTGGCTTATGGGAGTATCACTGATATGTGATTGGTTCCTCCATATAATCTTCTTCAGTTAGTTGTTGTGAAACAACCCCTAAATTTGTTTATGTGCATGTGAGAACAATTTTGACGGTATAAAACTACCCAGGAAAATGTATATAGTGAGGATTATTGCTTTAATAATTTATGACAAAATATGGCAGCTACAGTACAATAATACTACCGTATATGAATAAAATTCAGATACCATGGATGAGTCAGCCATTCAGGTTGAAGGAATTTGTAATACATATGATCTGACCCACGATATCTAAACAACAACATATAACAATTTAATAAGAGCAGCCAGTTTAATATTGAATATGATTTTTTCTTAAATTTATTATACAAGAATTTTTGTAGTTAATTTAATCCATTTTCTGTGTAAAAAGTTTATTTAAAAAAAATGACAAATCCTGTAAACTTCCACTTCTTACATCATCCAAACCATTGTTTAGATACAAGTCCTTTAATATAATAATAAATACAAATCATGATCAAATCGTTTATATGATGTAAGCAGAGTTTTGCGAGAAGCGTAGGTTTGCAGGAGATTTTATTTTTTTTAAATGGATTTATTGTAACTAATTTTTTTTTTTTTCTATGGTATTTTGGTGTGCTCTATAAACTGGTATAATCAATATTGAGTGGCTTGGATGATATCTGCAAATTTATAAACCTTTAGAAAGCAAAGATATTTGTACATTATCATTATTATTCATTAAAATTAATATTCAACAGCAGCTCAGTTCAGAAATATATCACAGTAGATTGCATAGTGTACTGTAGGTAATAACATATTTTTATCATAGGTTGTCAAACACATATAAGGCCAAATAGAAAAAATTACTAGTTTCTCGTCTCCTACATCCATTTTCTCTGCCCCACCAACAATTTTTTTTTTTCCTTTTATATTTTTACGAAATGTATGGAAATCTGGCTATTTC